CCCCCCCGCCCCGCCGCCGCCGCCGCCGCCGCGCACAGCCGCAGACACGGGCGGCCGCGCCGGCAGCCGGCGGCTCGCATGCAGCCGGGGATTACGGCGGGGCGAGGGCAGCGCGGGCTCGGCTCTTATCCCCTCCTCGGTCCCCCCCTTCCGCCCGCCACCCCAGCCGCTCGCCGCGCGGCTGCTCCGGCGGCTTTTCATCTACGGGGGTAGGAGCGAGATGCCTTTGCCGAGCTTCTTCCACCCCCAGTCCTCTCCGTGCCGGGGGGGCGGTGATGTGGAGCTGGGAATGTAGAGGAAAACCCTCCCCGGGAAGAAGCGACCAAAACAAATCTCTCTCCGTGGCTTTGGCGGCCGCGCAGTGCCCGGGGAAGCCTCAGCAGCCCCTGCCAGCGCCGGGGAATCCCTCCTGCAGCCCCCGGCGGCGCCCCGGGCGCCCGCCGAGCAAGGTAAGCGGGAGGGCATCCCTCCTCCGCCGAGGGCTGCCTTTTGGTTTTATTTGTATTTATTTTAGAGCCCGAGTCATCCACGCCTCCTGCGCTGATGGGACTGTGGAGGGAGGCGAGAACTGCCGGCTGGCCGCCGGTGGGCTGCGGAGCGCCCGGGCCGGACGGGAGCGCCGCGCTCCCGCGGGGAGCCCCGGGTGCGCCCCGGGCGCGATGGGGAGCGCCCCTGGGGAGGGGGAATGCTCGGCGGGGCGGGACGGACACGGGGTGTCCTCCCCGGCTGCCTGGATCCGTCTGAGGGAGGAGAGTGCAACCCTCACGCTGGAGCGCTTTGGAAACCATGGATTGTATTTTTGTTCCATCAGAGCTGCTAAAGGGAGTGGGGGGAATGACATTTCGTAGTATTCTACCTCCTGCTGTGGGTGAGCTCTACGGAGAAAGGCTCATCATTTATTTCCGACGCTCTAATAACGCTTGTGGAAACCTGATGATACAAACCCTCAGTGTTCTCCGTAGCTGTCGTTGGAATTACCCCATCTACCCAAGGACTGAAAAATCCCCTCTATCAAAGAAAATACGTGTAGCATTGTGCTAGTCTAAAACATAGTCATATATGCTTTCTGTAGGTATGTAGCATGCTGACAGTTCCCTGGATTTAAAAATCTAAATGCCTTTATGAACGGGCATGTTCACTGGCTGTATGGTTTCTACAAACCGTTCAGTGTGTTTCTTCTATCAGAATTTCACTGCCCGGGGGAGGGAAGACCTTTGTTTATACACTATGTATGTACTGTCCGTATTTATAGTAGGGTTTGGATCTAATTCAAGTTACATAATGATTAAGATACAAATAGGAAGTATATTTGCAGTTTTTTGGACATTTTAATTCATTTCAGATAAGACTGTCTCTGGCATCACTACCAAAATTGTCACTTTGTCAATGTTTATGTAAAAAGGGAAGCATCCATAGCATCAGGTGGAGACAGCATTCCTTGGCAAATACACAGTCATCAAGACCTTGCTATCAAAGGAACACCTGAGGAAAGGATTTCAGTGACCCCATCCTGTAGCTCTGAGAAGCTACCAGGATTGGTTTAGGAGAGGAAGAATAGCAGTGAGACTGGGCAGGCTTGGCAGGGAGAAAAGCCTGTCTGATGATGTTTTGCTTTAAAGACGCTTAGACTTCAAGTCTGCTCAACTGGCAAGTCTATCCAAGTTAGTGCAGAGATAGCACCAAGCCTCAGAGGCTGGGCAAGGTCTGTGGAACTAAACATCCTAACAAGCCTGGGGCACGATCCTAGAGAGTTTTAGTAGAAACTGTCAGGGGAGTAGGGGCGGTGAGTACATGCCCCTTGTGAGATTTGTTTGTTCTCCAATCACTGAGATGTGCTAGCAAAGCTCTGGAAATATTTCCCAGAGAGATGAGATGCAATACAAACAAAAAAGTTTGTTTCTGGTTCTTAACACCTTTGTCTTCTCTGTTCAAACGACATCTGATAAACTGTCTCTTCACTCAGCCTTAGTGGAACTCGCAACTGGTTTGTTATAATTTTTTTCTTTTTCCAAATTATGCTTTTGCAGGCAGCTCTCACCAAAGCATTTGAATTGCTTTTGCCTCCTTCATTCTCAGCTGGACGCTGTCACTGGGGCTCAGCAGGTTGGCCTCATTCAGACATATGCAGACAGTAAAACATCTTCAGCTCGAGATGAGAGAGTAGTGCTGTTTGGAGCAGCATACTTCAGTCTGAGCTTTTCCATTGGCTTCAGCATTTTGAAATGTCCCATTGCTGTAACGGTGCCATATCATACGTATTTATTCATGCTTAGCCTTTTTTTTTTTCTCAAAGTGAAAGTTAATTGGCAAATTCTGGCTTGCCATTCAAAGCAAGGTGAGGGGTCAAGATTTGCAATAGCTTTCTTGCCAACATTTGGGATTTTGCCAAACAGCTTGCTACTGTCACTTTTAGAAGAAAATCTTAATCTTATGTGACTTCCATGAGCTTCATGTAACTACATCCTCAGGTAAAATATTTTCCATGATGCTACTGTATTTAAAGCTACCTGCTGGAGGACATTTCAGTCAGTGTTTTACTCTGTCTGTTGTTCTTGTATAAACAGCATGTTGGGGAGGGTCTGTCTGTTCTCTGTTCTTCATGGCTTATAGGAACACGAACTGAGATACCTGGTGAAGGGGGCAGTGACTGGCAGTATGTAGTGCAGTGGGGGATTCCACTGCAGACCCCTCTGAAGGTGTCTGCTCTACCAGAGTACAGACCTGCTGCTCCCGACAGACTGAGCTGGAAGCCAGAAGGGGAAGCACTTAAAGTTGCAAGCTACTTCAGCTTCATCAGATCAGGCATACATGCATTCTAAAAATGAGTTTTTGTATGTTTTCAGGGGTAATTTCTATTAACTCGTCATGTAATTGCATAATGCTTTCTGACCCAGCAGTGCTCACAGCTCTTGAAGTTAAGTAACAATTGCCTCTGAAAGGACTTTCCATTTCTCTCGTGTATTTTTATAGGAATTTTTTTCATTTTTAGGAATAAAGTTCTTTTACCTAATAGGTGTCTGAATATTATAAACATGGCTACATGATAAAAACCAGTTTGCTTTTCACTTTGTTGAGTTGGGCTGTTTCTACTCTCGTCGGGATATGAGCACCCTAAGAGAAAACATTTTTGATTTCCCGTCAGTAGCTGGCACCTTTTTATTGTGGTTATTGCCGAGGTAGTGGCACTGGGTATTTGATTTCTTTGATTTTATATCTTTTAAATCTTTGGGACATGTTCTCTTATCTCACATTTAACAGGTAGAAATGAGTGTCTAGTTTGTAACAAGAATATTAACTGTAAACCAAAATAAACTTTCCAATTTCTAATTGTGAAGATCTTTTAAGATGTGCAACAGTATTCTATGGGATACTGTGAAAATAAATTGCCTGGGACATTATACAGTAGATTTTATCCTATTGTAAATGTAGGGTTTTTTTGTGCAATTCCATAGCTTCCTATGTTTGCTTATCTATAATTCTCTGACTATATGGAAAGGCTATGGAAAGAATTTCATTACTTTGAATTTTTTTCTTCAGTATTATGCAATTAGAGGGATCATATTCCATGCTATAATAGATACATTGCTCAGTCATGCTCAAATTCAATCTAAGTAAAATGCATATATATGACTAAATATAAAAACTGAACAGAGAAGCTTAACAACTCTATTTTTTTTATTTACCAGAACTTGGAAATTTCTTATTTTGCTTAGCTATTGGTACAAAGTCAGTCCCAGTATAGCTTCCCAGACCACTAAATACCATAAAAGCCTTAGGCATAATATGTGTCAGTCAAGATATTTAAAATCTATTAATCTTAAAACCACCTGTATTCTTCATAAAAGATAGAAAGACTGCAAAGGCTATTCTGCTTTTTGTCCTTCCCAGTGCTTGTTACAGCACATGCAGAAATTTCAGTACAAGTCGCACATTCGGCAAGTCCTGAAATTTCACTTGTTTACTGTGCCATATCTTGCTGTGTTCCAGGGGCTGAAGTAAACAGAGAATGAGGTTTTTCAGACTACTTTTGTTCACCAGAATGAAAGTATGATGATGTTAACTGGATAATCAGCAAATAAAGAATATTATTTTGAATATACTTCTTCTTGGATTATTGGGATCGCATGAACAATATGGAAACAGTAGTGAAAAAGTCTTAGGCCACTAAAGTTAGTGGAGTTTTTAATTTATTTGTTTCTAATGCAGGAAATCTATATTTAGCCATAATGGTAGAGCACTGTGACTTAGGTGTCTGGCTTCTATACATCCCTAATCCTCCTCTGGATAACTATAAAGAGTAGTCAGTAGCATCACTGCTGGCACCAGCAAGAGACTCAGAACAACAGTGTATTAGCTAATAAATAATATATGTCATACTGGCGTAATGCAGCTCTGAGCATTTAGGAGTAGGCTGCGATAAGCAGCAGTTGTAGTCTTTACAAGGAACAATGGCAATCAACCAATTTACCTCTCATAGTACTGTGACAGGGGGACTGTGGTACACTGTAAAACTGTGCGAGGGCATTTACAGTCCGAGCCAAGGCAGAGGGGCTGAATAGCTCTCTTATCACAGCACTGGCACATGATGCAGAAGCTCTAGGCTTATCAATGCTTCTCCCTGGCAAATCATACTTGCTATTGCAGGGTGTTCTTCGTGCTGCCATCATATTCAGGTATTTACTTGTTGGGAAATAAACACCAGCCCTTTATGTTACGGGGAAATGAATGCAAAGCTGTGCTGATAATTAACTGAACAAAGCTCTCAAACGTAATCTTCTTTGATGACACTGGAGATGAGCTTCTCCCTCTGACTGCCTAACAAGTTAAGAAATAGAAATCAGTTATGGCAGTACAATCCAAATACAGAATAAATTTGCCTCAGAGCTTTAATAAGATATCTCAAGGCAGTTCATAATATTTATTTCACAGTACCTCATGAATGGTTAACTTCTAGAAAATTAGTTGCATTTTCAATATATAGAGATAAAAATTACCATCAAATGCAACAATGAAGCCATAATACTGCTTTCTACAGAGTTTTCAGTTGTGTCATTTGCCCTCTTAAAGTGTGAGGATTTGGTTTACCTGCAAGGTTGTTGACCTCATCTCAGCTGGATGTATTCTCAGATGACTAAATAATCCTATTATAATTTATGGCTATACGTTCAGTGTAAATTTACATATACCAGAGAGATCCTGAGACAGTTTGAGCAGAAAGAGCTGGCAAGCTGCAGCAGCTAGAAGAATCCCACTAATTTATTTAAGCAGACTCAAACCAGCGAATTGGCCTAATTATCCATGAAATCACAAAGCTGTGAGTGACAGTGGTTGTTGAGATTAATAGCACACAGTGTCGATTTACCTTGACAGGAGTGCCATCTAGAAGGTCTTGCCTTCTAGAATATTTGCATCTCGTGCTTTCTTCATTCTCATTACTGCTGACATAGAG